TCTATTTCAGTGCTTGATATGGATCTGTTAAGTTGGTCTAACTTATCTTGGTTTAGTTTTGGCATGTGGATATTTGCTAGGAAATTGGTCATTTCTTCCAGATTCTCAAATTTATTAGCATAAAGGTTTGAGAAGTATTCCCTTATAATGTTCTGAATCTTGTTTCTGTGGTAATGTTTCCAATCTCTGAGTTTATTTGGGTGTGTTTCCTTTCTCTGATAAGGATCTAAGGGTCTGTCAATTTCATTTTTTTCAGAGAACCAACACTTTGTTTTGTTTTGTTTTGTTTATGGATTCTAATTTGTTTGATTCTGATTTAATTTTAATTACTTCTTTAGATCTGCTAGATTGTGGTTTAGCTTGCTGCTCTTTTTCAAGGAGGTTCAAATATCTCATTAAATTGTTGGTTTCTGATTTTTCCAATTTGTTGATGTAGGAACTCAGAGCTGTAAACTTGCCTCTGAGTACTGCCTTTGCTGTGTCCCAAAGGTGCTGGTAATTTGTGTGTTCATTTTTGTTGAATAGCATGAACATTTGAATTTCCTTTCTAATCTCTTCCATGACTCACTGGTGATTCAACAGTGTGTTGTTCAGCCTCCATTTGTTGCAGGACTTTATTTGGTGGCTTTTGGTGTTGTTATATTATTATTCCCTTGTGGTCTGAGAGAATGCAGGGCAGAACTTCAATGTTTTTGAATTTGGACAAGTTTGCTTTGTAACTTAAAATGTAGTCTATTTTGGAAAATGTTCCTTGTGCTGCTGAGAAAAACGTGTATACTAATGCTGCTGGGTGAAATATTTGGTAGAAGTCTGTTAAATCTAGTTGTTCTATGCAGTTGTTTAGATATGCGATTTCTCGAGTTGATCTATCTAGTGGGGAAAGTGGTGTGTTAAAGTCCCCAACAATTAATGTCTTTGAATCTGAGATTTAAAGGAAAGTAACATTTCTTGGAAAAACTTGGGTGCTCTGTTGTTTGGTGAATAGATATTTAGAATTGTAATATCCTCCTAAAGGAAAGATCCATTAATTAGTGTGTAGTGACCTTCTTTATCTCTTCTCACTAATTTTGAAGTCTATTTTATCTGATATTAGGATTGCAACTCCACCTGTTTATGGGGGCTGTTTGCTTGATAGATGTTGTTCCAGCCTTTCACTTTCAGAATATGTTTGTTTTTATAGGCAAGGTGTGATTCCTGAAGGCAGCAGATAGAAGGATCTTGCTTTTGTGTGTGTGTGTGTGTGTGTGTGAAAACACCAGAGGGGTTACAATTACATTGGCAAGTATATTTCTTATCAAGCATTGTTGCCTCCTCCTTTGTTTCTCCTTCCCATCCCTTCCCATATCCCCCCCAGACCCCCTACCCTATCCTCTCCCCAACCAAAGTTGTAAAGTTCGTTTTTTGACATATCGACTTGTACATCTCATTGTTGCAAGGGTCCACCTGTATCCCTATTTAAACAATTTGTTTTTTCCCTTCCCCTCCACAACTTATACCATCATCAAATACAGTGAAAGCAGGGGACTAGGCAGTCTATGTCGCTTAATTGGAGTGTTAAGTCTATTAACATGAGTTAGGATTGAGAGGTGTTTGGGAGTTCCTGACAACTTATCCACCTTGAAGGATGTGACAGCTGGGTTCTTTTCAGTTTGGGTGTGGTTTCTTGGTCTTTATTGTGCTCTTGTTGGTTTTCTATATGTAGGACATCTTTAAGTATCTTTTGTAGAGCTGGTTTGATGGAGATACAGTTTGTTTTTCTTTGTTATAAGAGTTTTTTATTTGACCTTCTGTTATGAAGGACCCTTTATCTGGGTACAATATTCTTGGTTGATAGTTGTCTTTAGGGCATACATTATTCCAGGCCCTTATTGCTTTCATTGTTTCTGCTGAGATATCTGAGGTTATTCTAATTGATTTCCCTTTACAGGTGACTGATCCTTTCCTTGGTCTGAATTGGTCCTGTGTGGATTATAATGTGATGGTGGGATGTCCTGTTCTGGTCTGGTCTATTTGGGTTCTAAAAGCTTCTTGTATCTGAATAGGCCTATCTTTTTGCTTGTTTGGGAAGTTCTCTGCTTGGATCCTGTTAAACAAATTTCCTAGACCATTAACTTGTCTCTAGATGCGCCTCTATACCCATTACCCTCAGATTAGGCCTTCTGATGGTGTCTTCCAAATATTGAATAGATCAATCATATTTCTTGGATTTGTCTTGGAGAGTTGTATGTTCTTTCTCTATAATATCTAGGCTGTCTTCAATCCCCAAGATTAGATTCTTCTGCATGGTCTAACCTACTTTCACGACTTTCTACTTCGGTTTTTATTTCCTTTCCTTCTAATTAGTTGGCTTTTATGGCTTCAAATTCTTTGTTGGAGTTTTGTTTTAGATCTTGTATGGACTTATTTATTTAATTTGGTGTTCAGTGTTTATTCTCAAATCACTTAGTTGATTGGTTATGATTTCTTTGCACTCCTTTTCCTTCTGATGGGCTCCATTCAGCATTCCCTTTGTGGTCTCCCTGACTTCCTTCAGCTCTTTGTTAATGGATTCCATGAATGCCTTTAGTGATCTTTGTGTATTCTCATCCTGCTCTCTCAATTCCTGTATTACTCTTTGAGTAGCTGCCTCATGCTCACACAATTCCTGTCTTTCTCTTTGACTGTTCTCAGCCTGCTCACGCAATTCCTGTATTAATATTTGGTTATCTTCCTCATGCTCACAAGATTCCTGTATTAACTTCTGATTAGCCTTATCATGCTTGAAAGTTCCTGTATTAATCATTGGTTAGCCTTATCTTGCTCCCTATTACACTCACACTGAGTCTTTTGCAGGCTTTCAATCTTTACATTCTCCATGTTTACTAGTAGCATTTGTAGAGCTTTTTGGGAACTCTCCTCTGGATTATTCATTAACTGCTCTGTCACCTGATTATCATGAGTGGGAGTTGAGACACCTGGACTTGCCATTTTTCTTGTGTTTCTCCTGCTTGTTCTGCCCATTTTGTATGAAAGTAGTGCCAATTTCATGCTAGAACACTACTTTAACGCAGGCATTAACCAAAGTCCCATAGTTGCACAGTCAAAATGGCTGCAGATACAATCTAATTAAACAGATATAATCTATTCAACATCAAAAAATTATGGATTAATGGGCTATGTACATCAAAGAGAGATTCTGCATACCAGAAATTATTAGGTTTAGGGAGAATTGTGGGGGGAAAATAGGATTAAAGCAATGTGGAGAGGTAAAAGGAAAAAGTGAATTTAACTAAGTCCTAATCTCAGAGAGGAAGTGGATAGCACAGAATGAAAGGAGAGAGATAAAGAAATAAGAAAAAAATGAAAAAAATTTAACTTTAGAAAGTGAAACACTTAAAAATTATGTAAGTGTAAAGAAATAGTATGGAGAGAAGAAAAGGGTAGGATGAGAGGAGGAAAGAGATAAAAAGGAAAAAATAAAAAAAAACTTTAAAAATGAAATACTTAAAAATAGAGCTATAAAGAAATACTACTATTAAAGAAGTTAAGCCTAAGAGGTTGTGAATTGAGTAATAACGTTCTGAATTAAGTATGTACACAATGAAGAAGGTCTAATAATTGACAGGTATATATCTGGGGATGAGCAGAAGAGCAATTTAGTCATACACACATACAAAAGGACCAAAAGGTTAAAAGAGATACCCACTCACACATACACATACACACACACAAACACATGTACACACACACCTAAAATAAAAATTATGAAAGAAAAAATTGAAATTTAAAAAAATTAAAAAATTAGAAAAGTTCTTGTGTGTGTGTTGGGGGGGCAAGTGGGGGTGAATATATGTATCTCTCCTGTGTTCGTAACCAGTCTCTTGATTGAGTCTCTAGTTTGCTTGTGGTGTTTGGTTTTCCCATAGCTTGATTGGTTTTTTAAGTCAGTTTGTTTGAGCAGGCAGAAAAAAGCTCTACCTTACCCAGTACTTTGTGATCCTCCTCCCAGGCTAGTTCAGTGGGAAGGGGATCTGCTTTGAGTATCTCAAAAGAGGGAGATGGCTGTTTCCTCTAGCTTGGAGTTGCTGGGATAAGGCTAGGTTCTGGGTAGGGTTGAGGCCTATCACAAATCGTTTAAATAGGGATACAGGTGGACCCATTGCAACAATGAGATGTACAAGTTGTTATGTTGAAAACAAACTTTGGTGGGGGGGAGGCGAGGGGGAGGGGACAGGGAGGATTGGGGGGTGGGGGGAGGATGGGAAGGGATAGGAAGGGGAAACAGAGGAGGAGGCTACAATGCTTGATAAGAAATACACTCATTGTCTTGCCCATGTAATTGTAATCCCTCTGTACAGTATTTTTCACAATAAAATAAATAAATAAAACAATCAGTAGCTTTTCCCTGAGGGGCTAGCTCCTGAGACACTCACAGAGCCCAGCCTGGAGTCATTCTCAGAATTTATGTTTACTGAGTTTCAATTGTTTATCTTTTACCTTGCAGACTGTCTAGGTTGCAGTGGGGAGGGGCAGCCTCTGGCTCTCCTCCATGAGCAGATATTCCTCTGCCTGGGAAGGGTGACTTTCCCCTAAGTGGAACTGAACCCAGCAGGTCAGGTCAGGTTTCTGTGACATGTGGAATACTCCTGTTGTTTTCTTCCAAGTCCTGAGTTGGAGCTAGCTTCTAGGGCTGGGCCTTTGTCAGTATCAAAGATGGAGTTCTTTTCCAGTGGTGGGGGAGGGGCTACCATCTCACTGCTGCTCCATGAGAAGGGGTGAGGATGTCTTGAGGGTACTCAAGCAAATTTCTTGGTTTCTGGGCCATCCCTGGTCTGCAATCAGTTCTTGCTGGTGGTGAGTAGAATCCACTCCCACTTGGCATCTGACACCTTTGTCCTGGATGCTGTTAATATAGTGGCCGCTGCTGCAACTACTGCTGCAGACACCAGCAAGTGCTCAGATCTGTCTCCTTGACCAACCTGCCTGGATTTTCCCTCTCTGGCCAAACTCTCTGTACTGTGATGGCACACTTGGTGTGATTCTCTAGCCTAGGACTGTTCACTAGAACACTAAAACTGCTTTCTATTTGAGTGTGTTTAGCCTCCAGCTTCTCCTCCACCATTATCCTCTGGAAAAAACCCTAACTGACAAGTTTTATGCGTGACGATTCCATGTGTATTATATAGGGAAAGGAGAAAATTTCTGGTATGATTTAATGGCATGACCAAAAAGTTGTGTTTCTTTTTCCTCATTTATTATTGCTTGCTCTATCAGTCACACTTGAAATCTGCCATCCATCTCCCACAGACATGGATTGAGGGGTTACTCTCAACAAGTTTATGGTTCCAGATGTATTTGTTCATTTTACTATATTTTTATTATATTTAAGTAATTGTACAAAGGATTTGCCATTTCACAAAATGTTGATTTTTTAACAGACATTTCCACTGAGGATGTATCTCAGAAAATTTCTTAAGATGATATTCATCAAAATTTTGCAGTTGTAGATAAGGAAAATGAGTCTGAGCACAAAGTACAGACAAGATGGCAAGAAGGATGCACTAGGTGATTCTGAACAAGATCCACTAGACACTTAGATGGGCATATTCAATTGTAGCTCCCTCTACAACCATTAGTGGATCAAAGGAAAAAGCAATAATATTTCTCTTTCTTCAACATCTGAATCATTTCTAGTATACTCTGTTTCACACCAGAGGTTGATGTACCCACCACACTTAAGTGTATTTCACACTGACTCATACTTCATTTAATTTCAGGCGGTGACAAGCTCCTGTGGATCATGGAATACAGAAGGAACATCACTGAATTTATTCTTTTAGGATTTTCCCAAAGGAAGGAAATCGAGGCGCTCTGCTTTTTCCTATTTTCACTTTGCTACCTGGCGATTTTGATTGGAAATCTGCTTGTCATGGTTTCCATCACCTTCAGCCCACTTATTCACCAGCCCATGTATTTCTTCCTGTGTTACCTCTCCCTCTCCGACCTTTGCTACACCTCCACAGTGACCCCCAAGCTCATCATTGACCTACTGGCAACAAAGAAGTCCATTTCCTACGATGGCTGCATGACCCAGCTCTTTACCATGCACTTTTTTGGAGGCATTGAGGTCTTCATCCTCACAGGAATGGCCTATGACCGCTACGTGGCCATCTGCAAGCCCCTGCACTACACGGTCATTATGAGCAGGCAGAGATGCCATGTGATGGTCGCTGCCTCCTGTGCCGGGGGCTTCCTCCATTCCTTTGGTCAGTTTGTCCTGGCCATCTTCTTACCCTACTGTGGCCCCAATCGAATCGATCACTACTTTTGTGATGTCTACCCCTTGTTAAAACTGGCCTGTACCGACACCAGCAAGATTGGTTTATTGGTCATTGCCAATTCTGGCCTGATGGGCCTGGTGACCTTTGTCGTCTTGCTGATATCCTACGGTGTGATCCTGTACACGGTCCGGTCTTACTCGGCGGAGCATCGTCACAAAGCGCTGTCCACGTGTTCCTCACACGTCACAGTGGTGGTCCTGTTCTTTGCTCCTTTACTCTTCATTTACATCCGACCAGCAAAGACTTTGCCGGAAGACAAAGTGTTTGCTCTGTTTTATACGATCCTTGCCCCCATGCTCAACCCTTTGATTTATACTCTAAGAAACACGGAGATGAAGAATGCCATAAGGAGACTCTGGGTGCCAGATCACAGGAAGTAAAGGAAATATCCCGAAAGACATTCGTGCAGTTCACCATGAAGCTTCCTGAAGTGTCATCTCTACCCTAAGCTAGAATGCATAGAACTTACCCATTGATTTTATACCTGGTGATAGGGTTAGGGCCCTACATGAGCTAGACAGATGTGGCTCTTCTCTGCATCTCTGCTCTTCTGTTTCCCTGCATTTTCTAACTTTGTTGGTTTACATCTCTCCTCCTCTGCAGATCCTGTGGCTCCACGATGAACTTTGATATTTGTCAGCTGGCTATCTAAGACAATATTCTAACCCAAGAGAGGACTGTCTATAAAACTCATTCTTGAATGCAATTGCATTCATTGAAGCAAAGATTAACCTTCAAAAAGAATTAGAAGCAAAACCCAATAACCACTAACATCAGAGAATATGATAGAAGATCTACTTATGAGTATAATCAATATATCTCCAAAATCTGATCCATTTACCAGTACACCAATTCTTTTCCCCAAGGCTCATATTTTAAAAAATCTTAGCTTTGCATATTTCCAACAAATACTTTTCTTCAAGTCATGTTTCTCAATTTTTAAAAAATATTTTATCTTTAGATAGTTTTTAAGAGGACTTGTCATTCACTGAAGTAATTTATGAATATAGTACATCTTGATCACTGTCACCTTTTTCAACATTCTTTTTTTTTCCTATAAGGAATTTTTTAACTCTGTTCACATAGACACCAATTACACATTTTGGTTAGTTCTAGTACTTTACAGAGCAACTGGTTTAGTACAAGAGCTCTGAATGAATTGCTTACTGTTTAGTGGGGGCAATGCTATGTGGTAAATATCTGATATATTACTAATTGAACAATCATTTGACTTCTTGTTATGAAGGCCTAAAACATAGAAAAGGCTCTATACACACAGGTATTTTATTGTCTCATGCAGTTATCATCAGAAAAGCAAAATTTCCAGATAAGAACCTTCTTGGCAGAAATAGGAGCATTAAGATTAAACTAGAGTCAAGGGACCATTCACATTTCAGTTTTATTTCTATTAGATAAAATTAATTTTCCTTGTAGCTGTAAAGGAGAACATATCACTTAAACCAAATGGATGTTGTGTTTTGTTTTGCTTTTAGCACTGCAAAATAGATTTTCTTTTAGTAATAATTGAATGTTACCTTGGATCTAATCCACCTCGCCTAAAGAACAACTAAGAGTAAAGTGTAGTCATTAGATAATTAATTTGGTTAGGAATTGAGAGGAACACAAAGGTCTCAAGAAACTCTACTGATAGAAATGGACTGTAAGCAAATTTATTTTCAGGTTAAACACAGAAGCAGCACTAAATGAATGAATTGTTGAGAGATGCCAAAATGGATGGAAATAACAGAGCCAAATTAGACAGTCTTGTGATTCAGTTTAATAAACGAATAAAATCACATTCTGTGATTTTTACAATACCAACAAAAAATGAAAGCAAAAAGTATAAAAATGTCAGCAGTCTGTGATTTTGAAAATGTCCTATCTCCTTTTTCCATTTAGGTTATTTATAATGCATTGACTGTGGAGGAAAATTGAGAAATCTGTACATTTAGAAATTAATGTATAGAAAATGATAGCAATGACCATTGGGTCTGTCCATGAAAATGCAAATTATATCCACTGACATGGAAATGAGTTTGCTGACATTTTGTGGCAGCTTGTCTTGGAGTTATAATTTCTTTCAGCATTTCAGGTTGAATGTTTAGAACTTTGTTTTTTTAGTTTTTGGTTTTTTGCTAAGACAAACGCAATGCTCTAGTGACTTCCAAGTTAAATACCCACCTGAAATATTTCATACATGTGTGTGGTATTCATATGAGTTCATAATTATGGCCTCCTTTTAAAATGTATCTTTTGATAAAATAAAAATATTTTTCTTATCTGAAAAAAATCCATTTTGCACCTATATTATCTTCTGAACTCTCTGCCTTCCTTCTATACTCATTGTGTCTAATTTCCATCCCCCACAACTTTGTCCTAGGAAGTCTTCACCTTCTAGTTTCACTGGTTTATATACTGAAGCTGTTCTTATCTACATTAGCAATGACTTTGTCTTCATATAGCCAGGACTTCACAGAACTAATCTCTCTTCTCCTAGCAAGATAGTTTATTAACATTTAATTTGGCTTTAGTATCACCACACCATACTGTCCTGGTATTGCTTCCATGTTTCTAGATAAAGGCACTCCCTCTGTTTCTCTTCCTGACTCTTGGTCATCTTACAAAATCCTGTATATTGGAATATCATAACAAAAAGACTGTGGCTTCATTGATAATATTCTCACTGTTTCAGTGTTATCTTGAATGGACTATGTGCCCTGATGCACCCTCTATAATAATATAAATATTCCATTCTGCTGTCAAATTCTTTAATAAAATTCTGAAATTTTATAACTAATATTTTGTTTGAACTAAAATACATTTTTTAGAGAATGATTTATTAGTAGTCATAAGAACTACCCAGTGAAAAAGCACATTATTAAACAAACAGAATCTTACAGCTATTTTAACATACATTACTTGCTATGTCTTTTAGTCAGTGCCATACTCATGCAGTCAATTTTTCCTACCATTCTTATGCTACTTTTCATTGTGGCTTTTGGTTTGACTAGTTTTTGAAAATCAAACAATCTGGTACTTATCATCTCCTTGGAGATACCTGCTGAGCATGAGCATGTACTACAGATTTGCAGATTAAGGTAGAAAGATTGGAGTGTTTAACCTTATGTCTTATTACTTTTTTATGATCTTCTCATTGTCATTATTATTACCTTTAAGTAGTTTGAACATCTTTTTCTCAACACACGGTGTTATGTATCATAATGTCTTTCCATTTATGAACGCATATAAACATTTAATCTGCTATCCCTAGACTGAAAATACTCAGTAATGTACTTTTACTTATTTCAACTAAGTCCTACTTTATTAAAAAATGTCAAATATATAACAACATTTGAAAGTTTTTCCAATTCCATAAATATATGAAAATCCAGATGCATAAAATGAAAGGGAAAATGTATGGTTTCCATACTGATGGAAAGAAGCTAAATTAATTTAGGCATACTCCAGATCAGGTTGCTTCACTAAGAGAATTAGCATTTCTCTTTTAAATACCATAACATTAAATAGTACATGGAGATACCACAGAATCCCTGTCATTAACTTTTGACTAGAATGACCATATGTTCCCATATATTTGACAGATACCCTCTTCTTCATACGGAACCCCGTTTTACCTATGTTGAGTTGTAATTTACACCAATGTGTCTCTCAGTTTAGAATGTAAATTATATGGTTTCCTTTCTATTATTAATGCTATAATTTCATTACTACATAAATATTCATAGCAAATATTTCTGTCATATTTTATTTATTAAATTTTATCTTTTTGCAATTTTTATATAAGTAAAATTGCTTGCACAAATGATGATTATATTTGATACCTTGACCAAATAGGTTTTATTTTTTTCATTTTATATTTTTACAAGGAATACAGAAAGTCTTGAACAAAGTGGAAAGATGTAGTTCAAAATTTACAATTTTTTTTCTGTGAGTAACATAGAAAAGACAACCAGGCAAATGGATGATTCAGGACTGGAGTGATCAGTATGCAGGAAACTTTATATATATTTAAAGATTCATTTACAGGAAAAAATAAATGAGTGAGGGATTAGAAAGGTGAACTCCTGTTAACAGTGGATGAAAAATTCCAAAAGGAGGAAAACACCCAAGCTGAAAGAAGCAGTGGTAACTCCAATCTTGAAGGAAGTTGTAGAGAACAGACACAGGTACAAATGTTGAATAAAGTAGCTCAAAGTAAATGACATTACTACTGAACTGCCATTCGTGTCTAAGCTTATGTGTGTAAAAAAGCATATGTTCTCATAAATTTGGAAAATCAAATGCCACTTCAAGGCATGTGATGAGTCAAAGCACCTCTCAGATGATTTGCCTTGCAGTCAAACATGGTTTTGAGCACCAAACCTTCCTCATTGTATTCTTCATCTCTGCGTTCCTCAGTGTGTAGATCAGGGGGTTGAACATGGGAGCAATGATGGTATAGAAAAGGGCAAACACTTTGTCCTCTGGAAAAGTGGTGGCTGGTCTGATGTAAACGAAGAGGACAGGCACAAAGAACACCACCACCACTGTGATGTGGGAAGTGCATGTGGAAAGAGCCTTGCTGCGACTCTCTGCAGGGTAAACCCTCACGGTGTATAATATTAAGCAGTAAGACAGCATCAGCACCACAAAGGTCACCAACCCCATCATGCCTGAGTTGGCAACCACAAGGATTCCAACTCTGTATGTGTCTGTGCAGGCCAGTTTCAGCAAAGGATATACATCACAGAAATAGTGGTCTAATTCATTAGGGCCACAAAAGGGTAAGTGGATAATGAGTAGGCACTGGACAAACGAATGCAGAAAGGCCCCAACACAGCAAGCAGTCACCATGGTGTTGCAACTCTGCCTGCTCATGATGAGGGCGTAGTGCAGGGGCTTGCAGATGGCCACATAGCGGTCATAGGCCATCACCGTGAGTATGAGGATCTCAATCCCCCCAAAGAAATGCATGGCAAAAAGCTGTGCCATGCAGCTCATGTAAGAGATGGTGCTCATCTCCAACAGCAAATCAGTAACCAGTTTGGGTGTCACTGTGGACGTGTAGCACAGGTCTGAGAGGGCCAGATAGTTCAGGAAAAAGTACATGGGTTGGTCAAGCAGCTGACTACATGTGATGGAAATAATGATCAGTGAATTTCCCAGCCAAATCGCTACATAACAGAATAAGAATAATAGGAAGCACAGGTTTCTGATTTTCCTATTCTGGGAAAGTCCCAACAAGATAAATTCTGTGACATTGTTGGTATTTTCCATGGCCCAAAGCAGCAAAGCCTCAATAGGTATGGCTGAAAAAAAATTGAACAATAATGACAATATGCTCTGGTGAATATTAGAGAAATAAATCAATTCAACCAAC